GGCTTAATTATTCTACAGTTTAATTATTAAATAGAAAAATTATTTAGATTTAAAGGTTTGCATATAATTATATTTGAGATTTTGATTACGTCAAGACTGATCAGATCAGTATGGTATGAATATAATTTTATCAACTGTACTATACTGATCTGCTAATATAATTCTTTTAATATAGTAACAGACTAGTATAGTACATTTTTTAAATACAATAAACTATACCATACTATATATTGTAATAATTTATAAAGCAAGGCCAGTATGGTACAATTTTTAAAGGGAAATCATATCATACTATTTTGATATTATATAATAAGCAGATCAGTATAGTATGGTTTGATAAAAATAGATTCATACCAGACTAATTCGGTTAGTCGTACTATACTGATCTTTATAAAACTTCTAAATGATGAACCAATTGGTGCTCTGGTTAACAAGCTGACCCAGACTAGACAGTAAAGTTAGAAAAGACTTAACAATAAGGCAAAGTTTTACAACAAAGATATACAAGAATTTTAAATTTAGTATATAATTTTTACAACTGTGTCTAGTATGAGCTATAATAGTGTTTTTATAAATTGTTTTTTTTTCTGCCTTTTTCTTCTTGTTTTATTTATTCTTTTTGTTTTCTTGTTGCTTAGACAGTTTTTTTTTCCCTTTTCATGTTATTCTATTTATCTTTAGTGTTAGTGATTTTTTTTTTTTTTTAACTTTGGTATATCTTGCCAGGTATTTATTTTAGTAATTAATTCATATATACAAATGATACTAGCTAACTAACATAGATGGTAAGTGATAAACTCTAAGCCTGTTGGCAAATAGCATACAAGAACTATTTCTAAATGACAGGTGCTGGTACCATAGAACTAATGATTACTGAAATACTTGACACCACCCAGTTGCTTTACTAAGCCCTAGATGTGATAGCCACATCACATTTGTCATGGAACTGCACCGAACCTCAACATTGAAGTTGGTGACTAACTTTTTGCTAGGGTACATGTGTAAGTTTGTAGAGAAGACTTTTTTGGTTCTAATAGTAGTTAGATAATCAAAATTGGCTTGGTAGATTCCAAGATATTTGGGGTTAAAGGCATGAATATAAAGATCTACCAAATTCACTATTACACAAAATATTTATAATACTTATATTTGCATCTTTAACCCAAATATCTTGAGATTCACCAGGCCAATTTTAATGATATAACTATCATTAGAACTAGAAAAATCTTCTCTACAACTTTATTTAGAATTGGAAGAAATGTTTACTTATTAAAAATATCTTTAATTTTTAAAAAAACTAACTTTAGCTTTAATTATTCTAATTTTAACCCTAAAGTTAATAAGTAAAATTTCTTTTAACTCTAAGTAAAGTTGTAGAAGAGATTTTTCTAGTTCTAATAGTGGTTAGATTAATAAAATTGGCCTGTAGATTCCAAGATATTTGGGTTAAAGGTGCAAATATAAGTATTATAAACTATAATACTTTGTGTAATAGTGAATTTATAGATCTTTATGTTTATGCCTTAAACCCCAAATATTTTAGTATTCACCAAGCTGATTTTGATGATTTAACTACTATTAAAACCAGAAAAGTCTTCTTTACAAGTTTATTTAGAGCTAAAAGAAATGTTTACTTATTGTTTTTGAGTTAGGGTTAAGGTTAAAGGTTAGGGTTAGTGCTAGTTTAGTGTTAGTGTTAATATTATAAGTTTTATATTATTATCTAAAAATAGAAAATCTTGTGTAACTATAGTGAAAATGACAAATTATCATAGTGAAAATAGTAACTCCCTATATACTGTATATATATGCTACTATGTTTATAGCTTTTAAAACAATAGCTTTGCTAAAAAAGCTATAAAAGCTAATATTATTATTTACAATACAATAATAAAGCAATAATTTATAAAATAAAATTAAAAAAAATAAATAATATAATTATATAAAATAAAAATAACAATAATAATTAAATAATATTTACTTTTTATTAGTAAATAATAAATTTGTTTTTTTTAGCTATAAAAATATAATCAATCTGAATTGATTAATTTGTATTCATAAAATCAAATCATCTAAAATTTTTTATATTCATATAAATCTAAATTAATTAAGAGATCAAGTGTCACATAGTTTCTGAAGAGCCCTTATATCTAGAAAAAGGTATACAAATGGATAATGAGTTGTATAGTGGATGGGTATAACGAAAGTGTCAACTGAATGACTCACGTGATTATGTGATTGATTGGAGTCGTAGAGGGAATCGAGATGTGGGGTGGCACATGTAAGATCAGGTACAATAGGTACCATAATCAATATGCGCATGAATATGGTGATTAATTGAAGAAAAATGAGAAAGTTTAATTAATTAATACAAAGAAATAGTTAAACTGTAATACAAAGTATGTAATTGATTGAATCGCTTAAATAGCGAAATGTAAATAAAGAATTCAACAGTCTTTCGATTGGAATAATTAAGCAATAAACGAATAGTTAAAGTAAATATCTGCATGTGAAATAGTGTGCTGTGTGTCAAAGTTTAAGAAGGTGTGTCTCTAGTGCCAAATGAGACCATAATATTAATAAACTGTTTGGGGTAGATAGCAGTCACTACGGTGATTGCCTAACTCTTTGACAGAGAAGGACCTGGGCAAGCTAAGTACCCTTGCAACGTTGAACTGTGTGATTTGATTGTTGAAAGTGAAGGTCTTCATGTATACCACTAAGTGTAGGTGAACATATAATTAAAAGGTTAAAGGAAACAAAGGTTTCAAGTGATCAAAGTTAAGAAGAAAAGGTTCAAAGAACGTTGACTATTGGTGTGAATAGAAATGGTGAAAATTGTTAGTTTTAAATAAACAATAAGAAGAAAACAATATAAGAGACGAGAGCTTATCTTAAAATGGTGTATGAAAGCATGGATAGTTTAATGATACTGATTAGAAAGATTGTGGAAATGATAACTGTGGAAGTTATGAAAAACCTGAAAAAGGTATGAATGAGAGATATTAGCCATAGGCCACGTTTGTGTTATGAATACAAAAGACCAGGACATTTAGCTCATGATTGTCTAGTTCAAAAATTTAGTAAAAGAAACTCAGTAGAAATGAATAATGTGAGTTTTATAAAATCCGTGAAAGTGGCAAAAGGATAAGGTAATGGAAAAGAGACAGCAGTTCTAAATAATAATGCTGCTGTCAATAGATGTATGAACAATAATCGAGCTAAAGGAAAAGCGAAAATTAATCCAATCAGTCAAAATAACCCAAAAATAAAGGGACGAATAAAAGTTAAAACCAAGCCTGTTGACTTTGATGGAAAGAAGGTATTCAATTATTTTTAGAAATCAGCAAAACAAATCATGCTGATGAAACGGGAAAAGTAAATCTTGCTAAGAAAATAAAGTTAGAAACATAAAGGATGAGTGTAAAGCAGTTATTAATTATCAAAAACTAGCAGACATAAATAATGCCGCTGATGGAGTGCATATAGAGGGTAATGAACATAAGGTAACCGAAAATAATCAGCAAACTGCAGAAATGAGGTATGCTTATGAGAAGTCTCCTGATTTGGAAAGTGCTACAAGAGTATATAATGTTGATGATTGTTTAAGTCATTATGGAATTGGA